CAATAATGCATAATTTCATTTGATAAACACGTTTAGATTGAATGGTAATTTATAATCAGTCACAAGAACGTCGAATCTGAATCACTTGAAAAAACACGGGGGTGCTTAACTTTTTTCCAGGTGTATAGTTTATCCATCATTTGGTAGACTTTTATGGTTATGTAAAGACTGATGATAGTGGACAGGAATCCACAAGAACAGTTGGAGAAAACTTAGATAGCTCTGAAAAGTTTGATGTTTTACTTGGAAAATAGGCATATGTGGACCTGCAATTGCAGAATACATCCTTATTCATGTCATATCACTATGATTAGCCCAAAAAGAAACAGAGGAAGGTCAATTTAGCTAAGGATTATAAACCCAAAGTTTTGCAAAATAAAATATGCTAAACATTTTTGAGTTCTTAGACTGCATTAATGAAGGAAAAGATATTATTTTTAAGTTATTGGGCTTGAATCTATTTTTGAAATAAGGTACATTTTTTTTGTTTGGTTTTGTTTAGCACAAAACTACACAATGTGCTATCTGCACTCTGTCCATTAGGGGGAATCAAACCCCAGATATTAACATTAATCCATAAACTTGCTACTACCCCATTGGAGGACTTGGAGACTGTTACATATACTGCAAATTTTATTAAACTGAACTCAGAGCACATTAAAAATTAAACATAACAATAACATTAAAATAACAAAAACTGAATTCTCAGTAAAATCAACTCAATTTCATTGTTTTCCAATTTTCTTTTTTTATCTATAGTTCTAATGTACACAATTTCAGAGCATACTGTTAATACATTTTTATTTTGAACTTCCCAATTCTAACTAAACTAGCTATAATAAGTCCTAGTTAATTTCATTTATAAAAAATTACAGTATCACTATTCAACAATGTAAAGAAATTGCAGGACTACCTGCCAGGAGTGGTGAAAGAATATAGCCAACCATAAAAAAACTTTGATGTCAATTATAAACAAAGATATATAAAAATCAACATAAAATGCATTCAGATAAAATGTACAATGTATGTCTCTTCAGTAAATTTCTAAATGAACTAACTTTGAAACATTTTTTCTTAAAACCATGAATTCAAAAATGTGATAAGAAATGGTATTGCATACTTAATGTTTGATATCAGCTTTACAATTACTTATAAATTCTGAATGTATTCATATACAATGAACCTTGTTTAAGAAAATTCCCCATTTACTGTTATTACAGGTATTGGGGTAATAAAGTTTTGTGTTAATAGAAAATAATTTTGTTCATGTGTGAGATATTAAGAGCTACCTTATTTAAATTGTTTCTTTGATAAATTTGTTCTTTTAGTTTGTTTGTTGCTAAGTGCCAAACTACCATGGGACTATCTGTTCTATGCCCAACACAAATATCAAAACTCCAGTTCTTAATAGTAAGAGCATCAGACTTACCTTGAGCCATTGGTTTGGGGGGGGGGGATCTTTTAGTGTTTCCATATACATATATTTGGTATTTTTTTCAAAATACCATTTTAACTCTTTCAGCACTCATAACCATTTTTTTGCTTGTTATAGTTTTCATGCTATAGCTTTTAAATTAGTAAGCAGATGTTAATAAAACGTTGCAGATTGTCAGTAAATGTTACAATGCTTTCACACACAAAATATCAAATTTTTTTATTAAGTCTTAAGGTTTGTAAAGTAATGTTTTTCTCATGCTTTTTTATTTTTGCATATTGCCTGTCCAAATGTCAAAATACATTTGTGCATCAAAAAATTTTCAAATTTCACATGCAAAATCTTTATAATGTCCAGACAGTTATCAAATGTTTCTTAAGATAAACTTTATATTTTATCTGTTATTTTCAGTACCGAATCTCTGTACAGGTTTGGTTGATTTCATTGATCTCGTAACCACGTTAAAAAATTAGAAATAAATACAAATTATGCTTCATTCATTCTAGAATGAACACAAATTATAACACTAAAACATAAATGTTTAGACT